CGGCATTCCGGGTTTCTACCGGGGAGGTCCCCCGGGGGCCCAGGGCTTCGTAAATTACATCCTGGCCGGGCTCCCACGCTCGTTCCCACGCTGTGCTCCAGGCAACGGACCTGCGCTCTCGAAGCTCCCACGCCGCCCCTTTCCCGCATCTCGCGGCCCGGAACCCGGGAGCTCGGCACCCAGCCCAGGTGCGCTTGTGTATTTTTTAACCAGACCCGGGCAGGAGTACAGCTGCTCCAGGATGGCTGCGACTGAGGCGGGCCCGGGCGTGGCCAAGGCTGAGGGCGGGGTCAAGCTTAGGGGCGGAGCCGACGCCTGGTCGCCTGCAGAGCTCTCCAGAGCTCCTGCTGCCGCGATTCGGTCTGGGACCCGGGCCACCCACGGGGCGGTGGGTGCTCTTTGGCCTTGGACTCTGCAAATCCCTTAAGGTAAATCCGCCTGGGAGACGGGCAGTTAGAGCGCTAGGGGACCAACGACGGGGGCGGGCGGCTGGCTGGCTGAGTAGGGGAGCGTCCCGCGGCGAGTTTCCCGAGAAAGCTGAAATCGTCCCAAGCTTCTTGTGCATCAGTTTGCACCCTGCGAATTGGTGGCTGTCTCTTTCCGTGCGGGTGGTCTTTGGGCGCGGGAAAGACGCGGAGGTGACTGGATTAATCCGCCTGGGCACAGCCCAGATATCTGTACTGGACTGCTCGGCGCGGTGGGCGCAGTTTTTGCCCCAGAAAGGGCGGGTAATTGACGCGCAGTTTTGTCCCGCGCGGCAGCCGGGTGATCGCCGGGCTCAGAGCGCGCGTGTCTGCAAGGCGTGCCTGGTTGTTCGGCGGCAAAGTTCCATGACTGCTTTCCTCTTTAGGCAAGACTTACTGGGTGCTGTTCCCCCCGCGGGGCTGACGCCCGAGGCTCTGCTATGGACGGCAAGACCGAAGTAGATTTTTCCAGCAACAGCTTAACCCCTTTGTGGCGGAGGCGTTCAACCCCTCAGCCCCAGCTGCTGGGCCGGAGCAAGCCGAGGCCCCAGTCCTACCAGAGCCCCAGCGGGTTGCTGATCACGGATTTCCCGGTGGAGGACCGAGGGACGCCCCCGGCGGCGCAGACTCCGGCCCAGGTGCCCACCGTCTCCGACGGCAGGACGATCCAGAGGAGCCCCCTGCTTCTGTGCGCCCATCGGCGGTTGGTGACCAATGGGAGGACCGTCTCCCCGGAGTACAGGGCTGTTTCTCCTCGGCTTCGACGGCCCAAGTCACCCCAGGAACCCAGAGCGGCGTCGGGCGGCTACCCCAAATCCCCAGCGAACGGCACTGCGACTTCGCTCGCGCCGCAGCCGCTGCATCGCCCGCGGACTCCTCATGCGTCTGCCCCCTGCAGCCCCGAGGGGGACAGGGCCGGATTCCCCGCCAGCCCCCTGCTTTCGCCTGCTGCAAGTGCGCTTATCCCTAATACGGCCTCCCCAGGCGCGCGTTCGCTGTCCGGCCAGATGGCTAAGGACCCTGAGCGGGGACCTTCGAGACTCTCTCCCGCGCCCCACAAAAGGTCTTTGGAGCAAAAACTCCCCCTCCAAAGGCTTCCCTCACAGGAGAACGAGCTCCTGGAGAATCCTTCAGTGGTTTTGAGCACAAACAGCCCCGCCGCCCTCAAAGTGGGGAAACAGCAGATCATTCCGAAGAGCCTGGCCTCGGAAATTAAGATAAGTAAATCCAACAGTCAGAATGTGGAGCCTCACAAGAGACTGCTTAAGGTGCGCAGCATGGTGGAGGGCCTTGGAGCGCCCCTGGGCCCCGCAGAGGACGAGGGCGAGGCGGAGAACGACTTGGACAGTCCGGGGTCTCTGCGGAGAGGCTTGAGGTCCACGTCCTATCGCAGGGCGGTGGTCAGTGGCGTTGATTTTGACAGTCCTACCACCTCGAAGAAGAAGAACAGAATGTCCCAGCCTATTCTGAAAGCGGTAATGGAAGATAAGGAGAAGTTTTCCAGCCTGGGAAGGATAAAGGTAAGAATGGGCAAGAGTGTCGCAAGTTAGGCGTTCACTAAGCCACAGGTGAAGGTGACGGGGGTGGGGAGGAAGGGCACAGAGGAAACCAGAGGTTATTGTTATTGTTATTGTTATTTATTTATTTTTTTGCGGTACGTGGGCCTCTCACTGTTGTGGCCTCTCCAGTTGCGGAGCACAGGCTCCGGACGCGCAGGCTCAGCGGCCATGGCTCACGGGCCCAGCCGCTCCGCGGCATGTGGGATCTTCCCGGACCGGGGCACGAAGCCGTGTCCCCTGCATCGGCAGGCGGACTCTCAACCACTGCGCCACCAGGGAAGCCCAATTTTTAAATTCTGTGGTTTGTTGATCAGACCCGTGCACATTTATCTCTTGCCCATTCTGTTGCTGGCAGGCACAGCCCAGTTTAATGCAGCTTCATGGGAGGAACTGAAACTCTTATTGTTTTAATTTTCTAAGTTCGGGCAAAAAGTGGGGGACAAATGGGGGAAAAAAACACAGAAAATTAAGTATTGGCTGAGTGAACCCCGAACAGTTTTAATACAGGTAGCTGAAAAGGGGACGGTGAGCAGGCGCGGATCTGCACTCTTGATTATGTGGTGGCGCTGCCTGGTGCTTGTTTAGAAATGTCAGTCATACGTTGCTGATTCATCACAGCTGATACAGGAAAACCGATTTCCCTTAAGCCTATTGATTATTTTAATTACTTACACTAATGATTTAATTACTGAATTATGTTTTTCAGTGGTGATCACATACTAAATACCATTCAGGTAAAATGTAAATTTTAAAAGTCAGTTGCCAGATCACAATAGACATAGTTTGTTATCTTTGCTGTTTCTGGTTTCTCTCACCACTGCCTGTGGTTGTATCTTATTCCCATTTTGTGCCCACTTAATCCTTGAGTGCATTTAACAAATTGGTAGCTGAAAACTTCAGGTTCCAGTGAATGGTATGGTGTTGCTCCCAGATAAGGGCCTAGGAGCTGTGCTCATTAAAATATTACTAAATAAGACATAGAGAAATAGGGAACACTAGGGAAGGAGATTTTGGAGTGTGCATGTGCTGTCTTCTCCAGACACAAGACAGATCTCAGCAATCGGGCAGGAATTCATTTTGGCAGCCACATCTTTTCTTGATTAATCAGAGAGTCTATATAAATATCACATGTGTAATACACAAGCAAGCCTGTTTTATTTTAGATCCCATGGCCTTAAAGAAGTTCCATAATATTTTATGTGGTTTTTTTTTCCCCCTCCAACTCTGCAAGTATAGCAAAGTTCAATTTAACAGTGATGGCAAATCATGAGTAATGAAATAAGCTGGACTACTGGTCATTTGAGGATTCTCAAGCTGTATTGACAGAGCATGGGGGATATTGTACATTTTATTTCACCTTTTTAGTGAGTTGTAGTAGTGTTACGAGTGAACTACAGGGATCATCTGCTCTATGCCTTTGGAAGTGTAATGAATGTAACAACAAAAAAAATACTTTTTCTTAAAATAGCTGTATTTTCTGTTTGGCTCATTCATACATAGTTTGCTTTGCTTTTCCTATTTTTGCTTTTCTTGTTTCTTAGAAAAAAATGCTGAAAGGACAAGGAACGTTTGATGGGGAAGGTAAGCATTTGATTTTCCAGACTTTTATTGCTGTTTCAATGTGGAATATCAATTATAAGTTGAAATCCAACTGAAGTTACAAAAAACTCGAGAAAAATGTACAACTTCTTCACAAATTATATAGCACAAAGCTCTGCGCTAAGCTAAACTCACCAGCAGTGAGTAAAATTAATGGCATTCTTTGTAAGCAGATGACTTTGTCAGACCAGTGCTCTGGGATTTTTTTTTTTTTTTTTTTTTTTTTTTTTTTTTGTGG